CCACCCCCACCCAAAAAAAAAACAAAAAAAAACCCTAAGTTGGAATTTTAATGAGAGGAATGCCAAGTTTAATCTGTTGAATATTAATTCTAATTAGATAAATGTCAAGTCTAATAAATTAAATGTTAAGTCTAATCGGAAGATTGTCAAGTCTAATATACCGAATGTTAAGTCTCGTTTGTTAACACAAATTGATTTGATGTTAAGTCTAATCAGTTAAAAATAAAATCCAATGCATTGTATGTTAAGTGTAATGGATTATATGTTAAGCCTAATTTTTGAATGTTAAGTATAATTTGTTATATGTTAAAGTCTAATATACCGAATGTTAAGTCTCGTTTGTTAACACAAATTGGTTCGATGTTAAGTCTAATCAGTTAAAAATAAAATCCAATGCATTGTATGTTAACTGTGATGGATTATATGTTAAGCCTAACTTTTTGAATGTTAAGTATAATTTGTTATATGTTAAAGTCTAATATATCGAATGTTAAGTCTCGTTTGTTAACTCAAATTGGTTTGATGTTAAGTCTAATGAGTTGAAAATGAAGTCCAATGGCTTGTATGTTAAGTGTAATGGATTATATGTTAAGCCTAATTTGTTGAATGTTAAATATACTTTATTGTATGTTAAGTCTAATGGATTATATTCAACTCTATAGACTTAACATTCAACCAATTAGAATTAATATCTTGCCAATTAGACTTAATATACAACACATTAGACTTAATATATAACAAATTACACTTACTATTCAACAAATTAGACTTAACATATAATCCATTACACTTAACATTCAACAAATTAGACTTATTATTCAATCCAATAGACTTAACATACAAGCCCTTGGACTTAACTTCCAACTCTATATAGACTTAACATTCAATCAATTAGAATTAATATCAAACTAATTAGATTTAACATACAACGCGTTAGACTTAACATGTGACGAATTACACTTAACATTCAATAACTTAGACTTAACATATATTCCATTATACTTAATATTTACCAAATTAGACTTATTATAAAACCCAATGGACTTAGAATACAAGCCCTTAGACTTATTATTCAACCCAATAGGCTTAACATACAAGCCCTTAGACTTCACTTCCAACTCCTTAGACTTAATATTCTACCTTGGACTTGAACTTAACATAAAAAATTATAAAAAATATCACATTTAGCCAGTATTTTTTAAATTTTTTATCTTTTTACGATGTTCAAATAGAAATTACAAATTTCTTTAAAAATTTATAGTTTAGAGGTCTTATGGAATTGCAACGGACTCAAGCTCCTCCTCATCCTCCTCCGCTCCTTTCTTCGCCACCTCTTCGCCTTTGGTGTTAGGGATCGATTTATTGTTTGTTGGATCCTTCGACGACAACTCCAACAAATTCGAGAGTTTCGCCATTGCTGGCCAAATTAGAGTTTTTTTTGGGGGTGGGGTGTGGGGGGTAGGAAAAATTAGTGAGAAAATTAAAGGGAGAAAAGGAGCGAACGACATGACTAGAGCTTGCACCCAAGGTCAATTGTGGGAATGAGATGGGTTAGGAGAGAGGAAGAGAGGAGAGGAAGAAGGAGGAGCCATGAAGATTTAGATTTGGAGAGAATAGAGAGGAGGAAATGAGGATATTTTTGGGTTTTATGTTTGTTTCTCTTTATGCTTAATTGGCGGGGAATAAATTGCTAAATCATATGAAGTGATATTTTTTGGCTCTGATCCACAATGAGAAAATGTGGAAGGGCCAGCTCACATGCTACTCTTTATATTTAGACCTTGACATAATTTTTCATTTTTTAATATTTTAAAATAAGACCCTTAAATGATTGAAGTTGCTATTAAGTACCTCAATTGTCACGTGTTGCTTCTATTAATTTGGATTTCAATAATTAATTTGAAATAATTTATAAGGATGGATGGACCTAATGATACAAAGGGACATAGGGCCAGTTTAATGTTGTTAGAGCTTATCATAAGTTGCTTATATGATTAGCTTATAAAAATAATTTATATAAGTTGCTGAAAATAGATATTTGATAATCACATGTCATAATCTACTTCCAAAAGCAACAATAAGATATTTGATAACATTGTGCTTAAAGATTACTCTAAGTAAAAATAATAAATATAAACATAATTTTAGCTATTACTATTAAGAAGAAAATTTTGAATAAATAAAATAATAATGTCTAAAGCTAAAGTAATACTAAACTGACCCTTAGTTTGACCAAGGATTGGAGGACCTAATAGAAAGTTAAATGATTTTAGGGACTATTTTAAAAGCTGCTTTTAAAAATATTCACGGATTGCTTCTGAAAGTACTTTCTTAAAAACATCAGTAATTTCAATAATTAATCGAAATAAGTCTTATTAAATACTATTATTCATTACTTCTTTAAAAACTAAGCAGAAGCAGCCTGAAAAATATAATACTAAATTGGCCCCTAGTTTGACGAATTGAAAATATTCAGTTAAGTTTGGCAATTATAGCGTTTTTGCTATTTCTGTTTTTTTTCAACAAAAACAACTAAGAAACGTGTTTGGCAATCAAGGCGTTTTTTTGACTTGTCCATTTACAAAATCTAAAATTTAAACACTTATCTCAAAACACTAAAAATGTGTTTTAAGATTCCGTTTTTCATATTCAAAACCCGCCCGCCCCAGGCGCGCTTCACGCCCGCCACGGCTTGCTCGTTGGCCAGGCACCGCCGCCCGCCTCGTCAGCCTTGAGGCCCACCGCCAACCCGCCCGGTCGACGCCTAGCGCCTTGTCTTTCCGGCCGCCGCCTGAGGTCGCCGCTCGCCCGGTGGCCGCGCCACCGCGGCCGTCCACCGCACGCCGTCACCGCGCTGTCCGTCGTACCGACCGTTTGCGTGCGTCGTCGGTCGTCCCCCGGCAGTTGCCGTCGCCCGCCTGTTGGGCCTGCGGCTATCCGCCCACGTCGCCCGCCGTTGCCCCACCACCACCACTGTCGCCGCCCTCGCCCGGCCCAGCCGCGCACCCACCTCCAGCCACCTCTTCACCCGCTCGCCACCACGCCACCGCCGTCGCCCGTCGGCTGCCGACTGCTCGCCCCGATCAGCCGCCGCTCTGGCAGCAGCTCGGCCCGCGCGCCGTCCTGTCTGACCACCCTGCCGTTCGCCGCCCCGCCATTAGCCCTGGCCCAGTTGCTGCCCCCAGGCTCTTCCGCTGCTTCCCGCGGCCGCTCGCGCAACCCGTTACAACCAAGCCATACGCAGACCCGCCTGTCTGCTCCGCCCGTTCGCGCCACCCTACCATCCCTCTGTCGCCCGCCATCACCGTTGCTCGCCGCCGCATCGTCAGCGACACTCGGCACCGCACCTGGCCCCGCCGCGCGACCCACCCCGCCCGAATCGCCATCCGGTCCGCTCATCGTGTCGCACCGTACCGCCCGTTGCCGCCGCGTTATAGAAATGAGCTTACAAACTGAGCTTTGACTCGCTCAGGCCCGAGCGCCAAATCATTCACTACCTATAACTAACAGTCCATATCAAACGATTTCATCAGAATACTCCAGACCCCTCCCCCTTACAAACAACAGACCAACATCATAGAATCCGAACTCTCAGCTTAATCCCCGTCGTGCCGGCCACTCCGCCGTACCCGCTCGTTCGCCCTTGAGGCCACCGCCACTCGCGGTCACGCTCGCTGTCTTCCGCCGCCGTCGCGCTCGCCCGTTGGCGGCCACGCCGCCACCCACGGTCACCGGCTGTCCCGTCGTCCGTTGCCGTCGCCGTCGTCGCCGCTTGCCGTCGCCCCGCCTGTTGGCCTGCGGCTATCGCCAGCTCGCCCGCCGTTGCACCACACCACTGTCGCCGCCTCCCCGGCCCGCCGCCACCCACCTCAGCCACCCTTCACCCGTCGCCACCACGCCACCGCCGTCGCCCCTCGGCTGCCGCCTGTCGCCCGTCGCCACTCGGCCACAGTCGGCCCGCCGTCGTCGCACCCCGCCGTCGCCGCCCGCCACTGCGCCTGCCGTTGCTGCCCCGGCTTCCCGCGCCTTCCCGCGGCGCTCGCCAACCCGTCAACCACCCATCGGCCCGCCGTCGCTCGCCCGTCGGCCACCCTCCACCCGTCGCCGCCATCACCGTCGCCCGCCTCAGCGACCACCGCCCACCGGCCGCCGCCGCCACCCGCCGACCACCGTCGCTAGTCGTCGCCCGTCCGCCGTTGCCGCTGTATAAAGATGGCTCAAATATTGACCAAAAATGGTGTTTTCAAAACACATTTGAAAAAGACAACACCATGATATGTGTTTTTTACAAAAAACACAATAAAAAATACATGATTACCAACCACATCTAAATAATTTTAGGCTAATTTAAATATTAAATATTTTATGGTACGAATCTCTGCGTTTGCAACCATCGGCGTTTTTGCCGTTTTCTTTTTTTTTCAAAAAAAACAATGAAACGTGTTGGTAACCGGGGCGATTTTTGACTTGACCCTTTACAAAATCAAAAAAATAACGTTTTTTTTAAAACACTAAAAAAATGTTTTGAGATTCCGTTTTTATCTAAGCCCGCGACCTCCCGCGCCGCTCGCTGCTCGTCAGCGTCCGCCGCCCCCGCCCCCTGGCCGCTACCGCCGCCCTCCCGCCGTCGCCGTTGCGCCCGCCGGTGCCCGCGCGTCTGTCGCCCGCCGTCGCCACTGCCCGTCGGCCGTCCGCCGCCTGCTCGTCGGTCGCTCGCCGCCCGCCGCCACCACCTGCCGCTGTCGCCGCTGCCGCCACCTAGCCCGCCGCTGCCCGTCGGCCGTCCTCGCTGACCGTTGCCCCGCCGCCGCCACCCGCCCGCCGCCGCCGTCGCTCCGGCCCGTCCCCGCCCGTCACTATCATGCCGCCGCTGCGTCTACCGCCGCACGCCGCCGGGCGCTCGCGCTCGCGTCGTCCGCGCACCCCACTTGCCCGCCGCGCTTAGCCTCGCTGTTCGCCGCCCTGCCGGCCGCGACGGCCGTCCGCGCCCGTCAGCCGCCGCCGCTCTCCGCCGTCGTCACCACCGCCCGCACCCGATCCGGTGGTCGTCCGCCCGCCGCCCGTCGGCCGACAGGTCATTGCGTCGTCTGGCCGCGCCGCCATCCGCCGCCTGTCGGCCGCTCGCACCGCCCGTCGCCTGCCCTCGCCGTCCGCGATCGTCGTTCGGTCCATCGTCGGTCGCCGGCCGCCAGCGGCCGCGCCCTTCCGCCGCCCGCCGCCCGCCACCACCGCACTATATAATAAATAATAACTATAAATGGTGTTTTGAAAACACGTTTGAAAAATAAACACCATGATATGATGTTTTTTTAAAAAAACACTACAAAAAGAAACACTTTGGTTACCAAACAGTTTTAATTTGGAGAATGGTACATTCACCCACTTGGGCCCCACAATATCAGAGGGTGTGCTTATGGGTTGAATGACCCACCCGCTGAATTTCTTTTCTTTGTCAAGGAGTGCATGCCAGCCTACCAAAATTACATGTGTAGGTCTCTTGGGAGAAGAGACCAGAGAGGGGTCCATGGGTTGAAAGTGGGGGCCACTTTTGTAACTGATGATGGCATTTTCTTGAGTTATTCTGGGGGTTTTCTTTGAAATTTGAGAGCTCTCTTCCATGCTTCCAAACTGTTCACAGCTGGCTTTGCCTCCTCCCCTCCATTGTTCGTATTCTTGTTGTTTTTGGAATTGCTATAAATGAAATTTAACATTTTCTGTAATTACTTCATATTAAACATGGAAGGAAAAAAAAGAATTTTTTTTGATAGTTTTATTAGTCTTCCTATTTTGAGTAAATGAGAGCTGATTTGTTCATTATAGATAATTTGGATGTCTGTCAAGTTTGCAACACACCAGATAACATGGCCAATATACATTCTATTGTTAATTTACTCTCTTACTTTTGTGTAACTTTTAAATGCGCCAATATACATTCTATTGTTAATTTACTCTCTTACTTTTGTGTAACTTTTAAATGTAAGTGACCCTAGGAAATTGAATGGTGGAAACTAACCATTTCCATAAAAGAAGTTTGCATCTCCTTTCCTCCATCAGAGTCCACGTTAGGGAAGATTCCTCTGAAATTGGAATCATAAGATGGACCATTGGGGTGGGCTAACTTCCACCATTTTTTGCTTTGCATTAAATTCCAGGAAATTATTTCAAGGAAGAGACAGAAATTGGTAATAACCCTTTGCTTGACATCAACCGACAAGATTTTTGAAATGCAACCCATTTTATAAATCCAACATTGGCAAACACAATTAAGATGGGAGTATTGCATCTCTAACAGAAAGTCATCATTTTCCTTCAATGCCACACAAATTCCATGTAGGCAGTCTCAATGTGAAACTCTTCCTCTTTGCTTAAAAGAACAAAAGGGTGCCCAAACTGCAACATTTATCCGTTGATGAACATAAGTATGCATTCATCTCCAAATGAGAAAAAGGAAAGAACACAATCACAACAAAATTGATCTTCCAACACAACGTGATCAAAACTCTAATGAAGAGGAAAAAGAACAAGATGAAACGTCGAGACAAAAAATCCTTACAATCCATGAGTAACATTAACACGCCTTCAGTAACATCTAGTCTGTTCAGGAGCATCGTTGGAAACGACGAACAAAGTTAGTATATCATCATTTGTTGCAGAATTTTACATACAATGATAGAAGATTAAAAAAAAAAATGAGTCTAATTTTGTAAGAGAGTTACTTCTGATTATTGTTATGACACTAGCTTTCCCAAGTACTGAAGCCACTCTTCTGGTAAACCTTTTTTCGCCCTTAGCACTTTTACCGCACTCGATGTCAAAGGTATAGCAAGTATGTCGAAGTCTTTTGGAGCCTGCAGTAACCAGAGAAGCAACATTTTGATATTAATCAGAGAAAAAGATACACATAGGAGTTCATTTTTGCTAAAGGAAGCATTAACATGAAAGTTGAGACCTTTGGGATCTTAAGCAGCGTCATGTTTGTTTCCTCTAAGGTTTTCTGACCTTTTCTTGAGTTGCATCTTGAGCATGCTGTGACCTGCACCATCAAAGGTCATATAACGGATACAGAAAGTGTAAATGAAAGAGTAAATAATTGAATGATTTGTTTGATTGTCAACCTTTTTTAGTAGCATCGGTCATTATTTTTAACATCTTAACAGTTTGCTTTGTTCAGTTTGGACAAGGATTTGCAGTCAGACCTGAATGTCAATGAATTAATATCATGATTTGGAAAAAACCTTAATACTTTTCTTCTTTATTTCATGGGTTCAAAAAAGAAATTTTGACAGGATTCAGAATGATCAACCATGAGTTACTGGAATGAGCTACATAGGAAATTTTGATGGATTCACATCTCAAGGATCAGTCTAACCCATAAATTTTTGAGCTTGGTTTGTTGAGCTTGCATGAGGTGCAGCTAATTTGGTTCGCCAATCCGGCTAATTATTTGTAGCATTGATTTGTTTCCTTAAGAAGCTTGTTATTATTCTTAGCATCCAATGGTCAAAAAAGTCAATGATGTGGTCCAGAATGCCATTGATGGACTCCATAAGCTTGACAATCATGTGAAAGGAGGATCCACTTCAGTTAATCCTAGCATGGATACATGATGATTCTGAAAAAATTTAAATAAAGGGTAGATGAGATGGTTTTTCTGTCAAAGACATGGACATATGCACTTTAGTGTTTACATCACTTTCATATTCTTGGATTAGGATTTTTATAGAATGGGAATTGAATAGGAGAGATAGGGTAGCTAAGTAGCAGCAGTAATTTGAGAGGTGCTGAAGCAAAATCAAGCAGTAGAACGGCTCAGAAGGAGTTTGCAGCACAGTGAAGTGAACGTGTGAATGAAAAATCTATCCTTGATTTGGACGATTTTGTGTCACTAATTTTTATTCGGAAAACCATATGCAGAGAATGTTGGTTGTCTGCAGTAGACCACAAAATCTAAGTATGCAAATCCTGCATTTTTACAGTCATAAACCCTCTGGACTTATATTTTACATGTATCCACCTTTTTTTTCCATATACATATTCTAGTTTCCACATATTCTCTTCACGACTTTACCTTTAGCAGATTAACATTTGGGTCCTAGCACTATAAAATATGATTGGACATGAGAGAACTAATCGAGTTGGAAGCAATAAAGTCTATTCTAGGTCATGGGTATTGGGTAAGAGTATACACATCAGTCCTGCTCTGGATAAAATCACAAATAAACAAGCACAGATATTGAAAACATAACTTGTGATACACACCAATGTGCTGAAATTATGGAAGTTAAAGAAATACTGAATACCAAATTCTCCCAGGTCCATTCACCACCTTGTGACACTGGCAAAACATGGTCGATGGTTAAGTTCTCCTTGGAAGAACAGTATCTGTGGACAGCAGAGAGCAAATATTATTATTTTTTAGGCTAAATATCATGAAGCCCCTCTTAACTTTGGAGGATAATCAGAACCCCCCCCCCCCCTAAGTTTAGGGGCTAAAAGAAAACTCCCTTTAACTTTGAGCTTTTATCAGAAAGCCCCCTTTATTTTAGGGGGTTTTCTAATAAAATCTCAAAGTTAAAAGGGGGTTTCTCATAAAATTGAAAATTAGGGGGGTGTGTGTGTGGGGGGTGGGGGGTTATAATATTTTTTTCTGATATTTACCCTATGCTATTTGCTTCATAGATACACAATTCTCATGCCTAATATTATGCACAGCAAATGAAGGGAAATCTAGGAGTTGAGGTGGAAAGGTAATTGAAGTACTTACACTTGAGTTCCTCCCCATATTGTTAAGATTTATTTAGAAAAATGGTATGCAACTTAGTTGAACCTTAGCAGTAGAAGTAGAAAATACAACTAAAGAAGAAGAAAAAAAATCACTTCCCTAAAAGAAAGGCAAACTGAAAAATTCAGCATTATGGTAAAAAACAAACAAACTAAGAACTCCCTATTGAAATTAACCTACCATGTAGTTTCATATATGATATTTACCATAAGAGCCAAACACCTTATAAATGCATTTTCTAGGTAACAGTTGCAATATCACATGTAGTGATGCATCATTGCTGTTTGCTAGTCATAGAAAAAACAATTCTGAAGTTGTACTTACTGACAAGTGTAAGAATCCCTGTAAAGAATATTTTTTCGGCTAAGGCTATGCTTGACCCTTCTTCTCTTAACAACCTGTAGCAAATGAGGAACCTAAACAGAACAAGGATGTTTAGTGACTTTAGGATGTTATAATTGGATTAGTACAAGTTGATAAAATTGGTGGCTCTTTTCATACTCTTAAGACAGCTGGAATATTGAAAGATCCTTGAGCAGAAGGCACAGTCTGATCATAATACTCTAAGACATCAGCCTGCCAAATGAAAGCAACAATTTCTTAACTGAAAGATGATCTCTTCCTCGAGAAACAAAAATTGTTAAATAGAAATCACCAATTTCTTGATAGCAAGCTCAGAGTTAGGCTTAAATAACTTATGTCTTTAAGCCTCAAAGCTTAATGCACAAGGACTTAAAAAAAAGCAGCAATCTGACCTTCTCCGTGAATTCCAGACAGATTGCGCGCTTCCAGCAGACAACATTGACAGGCCTAAAAAGATAACCATCAATTAGTTTCAATTTGAAAATGTGCATTTCAAAAGACAGGCCTAAAAAGATAATCATCAATTAGTTTCAATTTGAAAATGTGCATTTCAAAAGACATTTTGTGTTCCTTATAAAAAATGCCACTGGCAAGAACATAAACAGCAGATTGACACGGAAGAATTATGCCTTTATCACATCATTAGAGTCGAAGGTAGAATGTTAAGCCCCAAAATATATATCCAACACATTAATCATCAGACGAATCAATAAAAAGTAGTGTAATTATCGATAATATGAATTTACAATCAAACTCTATATTCGTCCATACCAAAAATCCTAATTACGTCATCTAATAGAACAAAATATTTGTTCCATTTTACTGCAAACCAATAAAGTTATAAACTTCTACATAACTAAAACTCCAAATGGCAGGATGAATAAATAGTTTCCCTACTTCTTTGATTCAGTCAGAAAAACATTGACAATTCATTGGGAGCAGCTCAACATCAGTATTAGATGGGTTTTTTTCAGGCTTTGTACATTAACAATTGATGTTGGTGACCTGAAACACCCAATAAATAGTGATGTCGATCACGAATAAACAATTGCTGACGAATATATATTCTTCCACTAACTTATCTTAAACCTTTTTAAAGTATTCTAGCGGAATCAGGGCAGAGTTGAGCCCGCTACAGGCATTGGCTCCCCCGTCGCCAGATGGGATCAGACCCTGAACCTCATATAGCAAAATGCTATAGTTTCTAAACTCTTTATGGTCACTATAACTGGTTCTAACTTTTCAGATTTCATATTCTTGAGTCTACCTATATTTTCATCTAATCATGTATTTATACTAGCAATGCATGTGATAATTGAGAATTTAGAAAATCAGTCGGTATCTTTTTGCATTAATGATTTTCATGTGTCAAATATGACACATCTACTGAAATAATTAGGATATGATTTGGTATTTATAAGGTTTAATGACGTAAATTTGATATCCATAAATGTTTTTGATCATATGGGGTGGAATAGTGTTACACTGTAAGCTGGCTACAAGGTGGAACTTAGCCACTAAATGCTATTCTTATTTAGTTGTCATATCCAGTGGCCGATGGAATAAGTCTCAAGCAAAAGTTGTATAGTCCAGTGGTTGGTGTCAAATCAATTTCTAAGTACATATGTTACTTTCAGCAAATAGAAATAAAATAGATATGATATATATTGGACCAATATAATGGAGATTAGTCAGGCCATACTTTAGTGATAGATAAGTACAAAAGTTTAAAGTATAATGAAAAGAGTAATAACTCAAGAGGCTAAAATTTAGGGAGTATCACTTATATAGCTTCTTAATATTAATCCTTGGTAATTTCTAATAACATCATAGCTGTTAAAGTTCTGTAATTGACTAGATCCAACTTAATTACTCAACTGGATTCCAAGTTATAGCTTAGAGCCCATATAATATGAAAATTTTATGGAAGTAAAGAGTTTAACTCAACATGGTTCATTCTAAGAAGGCACTAATCCAACCAACCATTCTACTCTAATTAATTAAATCTCTATTTTGAATTTAAACATAACGATTGTCAGCTTTTGACAATTGAAGCAACCCACTCTGATATTTTTAACTATTATTGATGATTCATTCATTTTCTCCATTACTTGTGATGAGTTTCATTGTCAATATGCTAGACGCTTCAACGACTCTATAGAAGAATGCTAGGCTAATCACATAAGCAATTTTGATGTCCAGGTCATGCAATGCTCATTTTCTAACAAAATTCAATAAATTCAGAATGCATATCAATAACCCAGTTCCCAACTAACAAGTCAATAGTAAACAAGCCACTATTTAGCGAAACATCAACTACAAGACATTTTAACAAACACTTTGCATGCACATAGAAGCTCACTGACCTGTAGGAGATATCAAGCACCAAACCTCTAAAGCAAGAAAACTCATCTCTCCCAAACTCTTTAAACTCCACCTCTTCCTCCTCCTCTTCACTATCAACACCATCTCTCTTCAATTTCTTTTCGGACTTGAACCCATTAGATTTCATCCCATGAGACCAAACCCTAGAAAACTTAGAAATTCTCAGCCCTCTACTACTTCTATGAAACCCAATTGGGTTTTCAAGTAATAACTTCTTATTGAACCTAAATGGGTCTCTCAGTTCAGAGCCAAAGGTGGTCTTTTCGCCATTGGAGAGGGGTCTGAGACCACCGTGAGCTGATAATTTTGCCATTCGAGGTCACTTGAGAATTGTGGGTTTTCTCAAGTGAGAAAGGTTGTGTCTAGAACTGAGGAAATATTCACAGCCACATCTTTCATTGAGTTTTTTTCTATGGGATTCTCTCTCTCTCTCTCTTTTGTTGCTCCTAAAGCATAAAGGGTTTTTATGTGATACATTTTCCCCCTAATAATTGAACTATTTCCCCCCAAATTTGATGACCAATATCTGTAGCTTAATGATCACGGGGTGAGGCATACCCATCTTGTTTGAATCGATAAGAAGAAAGTGAAACAACTTTAAGAAGGACAAATTTTGAAAAACGACCTTTTTTCAAATTTATTAGGCAAAACCGACCCTCTAGAAAATTAATGAGCAAAACCGACCCTTTTCTTAAGAAAATGGTCGGTTTTGCGGTGTGGCCTTATTGTGAACTGCACGGGACTAATAGTCCCGTGCAGTCTACTTAATTTCCCGCACTCGTAACCCACCCCAAATCGCTCTCCTCTTCAAGAAAAAACCAAATCCCTAGCTTGGCACGACGACGAAGGGGATCAGAGAGAAGGGCAGCGACGGGGCTGAGGCGTCGAGCTGGGGCGCGGTGACAGGAGGAGAGGGCGGATCTGGCGTGGTGGTCGGAGTTTGGGCTGCGGAGGAGGCTGACGGCGGAGCTGAGGGGAGCTCGGCTGGTCGGAGGCTGTCGGATCGTGGTGCGGGTGGAGGAGAAGCTCGGGCTAAGCGGTGGCTCGAGCGGGTGATGGGGGCGGTGGAGTTAGGGAGAAGGCGGCGTGGTGAAGCTTGAGGAGGTGGAGGCTCAGGGCGGTGCGTCGGGTCGGAGGGCAGCGACGAAGGGAGCTCGGGGAGGAGGAGCTCGGAGCTCAGGAGGGCTGTGGCAAGGCTTGGCTGGGTTGAGGTGCTCAGGGCGGTGGTCGAGCGGAGGCGGAGCTCGGGGGGCTGTGATGGCGCGCGGGTGAAGAGGAACTCGACGAGCGGCGATGGAGGAAATTAATGGGCGGTCGGAGGAGGAGCGGGTGCGGGGGGTCTTTTTTGGGATTTTTTTTGGAGAGGAGCCGATTAATGGGCAGTCACGAGGAAATTAATGGGCGAATTAAGTAGACTGCACGGGACCAGTAGTCCCGTGCAGTTCACAAGAGGAGGCAAATTGCAAAACCGACCCTCAAAGGGTTGGTTTTGCTCATTAATTTCCTAGAGGGTCGGTTTTGCCCAATAAATTTGAAAAAGGGTCGTTTTTCAAAATTTGTCCCTTTAAGAATGAGTTATTTAGATATTAATCCCTCAATCTTCAAAAATTTCATATAAGTCCCTCAAATCTTTAAAATTGATTGCTCATTAGTCTCTCAAATACAAATAAGCAATTTGTGATTGATAGACGATCAGTAAAGTATTCTAAAATTACATGATTAAATATAGATTCTCCCTGGTACTAAGAGAGATCCACTATTAAAAGCAATAGAGAGACAATTGTTTTTTCTATATCTGTGTTAATTCAATATTCGTTTATTTGATCTTAGAATAGGTATTATATTTTTCATCGAGACTGCAAATTAATTTTAAACAATAGTTTTCGGAAGCATTATAGTAATTACCAACTTTTGCTTAATAAGATATGTTGATGTACTAGTGATCACATAGTCAAAATGTATCAGTGTAGGGATGAGTTTGTTGAAGATTGATGAATGGTCGCTTTCTTCCCTGACTTTATATCTGGTTCTTGAGTTGGGTGTCTGAAAAATCTGTACGTATAGAAATTCGTAAGAGGACGGGACTTAGTTCCCCCGTTGTACCTCCGACCGACGATCAAGTTAGCTGGTGAACTTTAGTGGGGGTAAATAAGAATTGTGAAAGTTCTTGTGTGTGCAGTATGATTTGCAGATTTTGAGAATATGGATTCGAATCTGGAGTTTAGCATTTTTCAAGTTGAAATAGTACCTCTATTTATACCTTGGGTCAACTAGTACCGCCTTTCGAGTTGATATGAAGGAATATCGACTCGACGAGTTGGCTAAGTCAGAATCTCTGTTGGACCTAAGCCGCCAAATTGATTGGGGCATTGTAGCAAAAATACACATGTCCATTGTTTAGCAATGAGTTGCACTTTGGCAAAATGGAAATACCATAACAAGATACATAAAGGTTTTTCTAATATTTTTTGGTTATATATATTCTCATTATTACTCTTTTCCCTTTGGTCTCCATCCATGAACTAAACCATTTCGTTTCGTGATTGAACAAAAATACACAGTTTGTGAGAACATGACCAGAAAATACTAGCAAGTAACAAAATATGCACCATCTTTATTCAGATTAATTGATAAAAATAACATAAATGTCGATGAATATGAATTTACAATCTGTCGATGCACAAATGCTTAACAACAGGGTTTGAGGTTGATTTTGAGGATGTTAGGGTCCTTTGATCTCCTTTGATAGCTGATCCCCCGACAAGAAGAGAGTCATGCACATGTGCAACATGTTAGAGGGTCAGAGTTGGGTTCTTCGGTGGTTCCTCTAACGATCAAGTTACTTATAACCTGAAGGGAAGAAAGGAACTGATATAGTTCTCTAGTAGTGCAGAAATTGCGTACCTTTGTTCACTATGCGATGTGCCTATTAATTTATTCCGAGCTAATGAGGTTATTTATGTAATCTTGGCTGAGTCCGAACAGTCAGCTTATTCGGTTGATACTTTACATGTGTCAGCTATACATGGTATGAGACACCATTGTGATTAATGCGATAGTGATCGGAGGAATAAGGTCCTAACAAGGTCCGATGAATCATTAAGACTTTTGGGGGATGTAATGATGACTCCGGCCATATATTTAATGCGATAGTGACTAGTTGTCGTTGCTAAGTGCTAGGAACACTGCTTTTTGTCTCAGCCTTCGAGGGGCGCGAGAAGTGATGCCTTTCATCTCAGCCTTCGAGTGAGACAAGAAGAGACGACTTTTGTCTTGTGAAGAATTACAGAGAATCAAAAAAAAATCAGCAGAGAGTTTGGCGGTCGACCGGCGCGGTCGACCGCAAACGTGCACCAAAGCTGATGGGAATCAGAGTGCGTTCAGGTTTTTTGACCCGTTTCGTTTTGTAATCTATATATACCCTAAACCTGATTTGTTAGGGTATCTCAAGGACGATTTTGAGCAGCCTCTAAGAGAGATTTGTTGCATCCAATTGTGGGAGAGCTTTGAGAGATCAATTGCTTTGTTTTAGGGTTTGGTCTGAGAGATTTGTAACCCTATTTGTATTCCCTTGATTTCTAGTAGTAAAATATTCCCCCTCCTTGCCTCGTGGACGTAGGCAAATTGCCGAACCACGTAAATTGTGTGTTCTTGCTATGGTTGTGGTTTGCATATTGTTTATGGTTTAGTTCGAGTTATTGTTTGTGTTTCCCGAGAAAGCTTCCGCCGCGCACAACAATTGGTATCAGAGCTAGATCGACAACATGGGAGATGCAAGCACATCAGGTTCGTCTCTAACTAAGGCGATACAGAGTCTGAGCATCAATAACACGAAGATTGATGTTCCGAAGTTCGATGGCAAGATCAATTTTGGATTGTGGAGGTGTCAGGTGATGGATGCTTTGGATGCACAGAATTTGGAGGAGACTCTTGAGTTAAAAGAGAAACCCGTTGAGTTGGAGGATAAGGTTTGGAGAAAGATGAACAGTAGAGCTTGTGGTGTTATTAGGTCATGCTTGACGCCGGATCTTATTTATGATGTCATGAACGAGACGTCGGCGAAGAAGATGTGGGAAACACTCAATGAGAAATATCATACGAAGAGCATTGAGAATCGGCTTCACTTGAAGAAGAGATTTTACCAGTTCAAGATGAAGAGAGGGGTTTCCATCAGGGAGCATGTCAACAACTTCACTAAGCTACTTTCAGATATGGCCAATGTGGATATTATAGTTGAGGATGAAGACAAGGCGATGTTACTTCTATGTTCGTTGCCCGAAGATGATTATGATACGTTCGTTCTCACTATGATCAATGGAAGAACTACAGTTAGCTACAAGGAGGTGACCTCAGCTTTGGTGAACTATGAGTTGAGGGAGAGTGATGGTGAACCCTCCGAGAAGGCATTGGGAGATGTGTTAGCAGTTCGAGGCCGAGACCCAAACTGTCGTCAGTTCAACCGCTCAAAGTCAAAGAATAGGAGTGCCTATAAGAGTGTTGGTAGAAATCAATGTCGGTATTGTAAAGAAGGACATTGGAAGATAGACTGCCCCCCAAAGTGGAAAGAAAAAGCCGGAAAGAATAAGGGGAAAGCTGCACAAGCTTCAGAAGTGAATGTTGCAAAAGCTATTGGTGAGCATTCAGATTCAGATTCTTCAGGCTATTCATGCCCTGCTTTACCGTCGGTTTGCTATGCGGATTCCACGGAGTGGATGATGGATTCGGGAGCTACATATCACATCTGCCCTAAGAGGGAGTGGTTTTCTAGCTTTGAGGAGCTGGAAAGAGGGGATGTCGTGCTTATGGGTAATGATCACGTATGCCCTATTGGTGGTATTGGTTCAGTCCGGATCAGGATGCATGATGGTGTAGTGAGGGAATTGAAGGAAGTGAGGTTCGTGCCGCAGTTGACGAAGAACATCATTTCTCTTGGGACTTTGGAGGCAGCAGGATATCGAGTGATCTTAGAGGATGCTACAGTGAAGGTCACGAAGGGTTCTATGGTGGTGATGCGAGGTGTCAGGGAAAACTACCTATACTACTTGAAGGGCAAGACAGTTACAGGGGGTCTGGCAGCTTCTATCACTACAGAGGAGGACACTACCACCTTATGGCACATGAGACTTGGACACACAGGAGATAAGTCCCTACAGTCATTGGCTAAACAGGGGCTATTGAAAGGTGCTAAGACCTGCAAGATGGAATTGTGTGAGCATTGTGTACTTGGGAAGAAGACTAGAGTGAAGTTCGGCACCGCTGTTCATAACACCCAAGGTACATTGGATTATATTCACACGGACGTTTGGGGTCCTTCCAAGAACACATCTCTTGGTGGGGCCAACTATTTTGTCACTTTCATTGATGATTATTCCAGGAGGAATTGGGTATACCCGATGAAGCATAAACATCAGGTCCTGGATATTTTTGTGGAGTGGAAAAAGAAAGTGGAGCTGCAGACAGGTAGAAAGGTGAAGACTCTACGTTCAGATAATGGTGGAGAGTACAAGAGTGATCCGTTTCT